GTGAACTGGTTGTTAAATTATTTGAATCCCACCACTGATTCCAGCCATACAAATATTTCCCTAATAGTTTTAAATATAGACACAATTATGCATAAATAAATATAATAGAAATCACAGCAGCAGCAGCAGATAGAGGCAATGTTGTATGTAATTCTGTACCCTGGCCTTCCAGACCACTGACTTCAAGCAATTGTAGACGGAAGATACATAGAGACTTGTTGCTGTGAACAGGTGGAGTCCTTAAAGTTCTGTGAAATCCCCAAGGTCCAAAATATGGCAACCTCTGACTAAATGAACATTTCAGTTTCAAGGAAGTTCCTGGTATCAATTTCAATTTGGGATGGGAGGTTTGATGTAAATCTATTTAGGTAGTAGTTTCAGGAGCTCCCTTTTAAGATTAGCAACTACTTTTGTTAATATAATGATGACACATATTCAGATTCTTTTTTGATCCTTATGTATCTATTGCTGCTTATTACTTGCAGTGGATCAAAAACGATCTGTAACCTTCACTGAAGCTCAGTCAGAAGCATCATCTTCAAAATCTGATCCTACACCTATTCCAGCCCAGCAGCTACAGTGCAGCAAAAGGATCAGCCCTGCAGAAGGTAGCAAGCAAGCAACCAATAAATCTGTTGTGAAGTCATCACCCACAATTATTGCGGCAGGTCTCCATAGTCAAATCTCTTCTCACCAGGTAATTTAATAAAGCAGAAAAGCATGCTTGCTATTTCCAATGGAATATGCCCTTTAATGGTTGCAAGTACAGTTTGTACCATATTTTTCTTTACATGTTAGTCTTTGGTTTCTCATATGGTATTAAGCACAGTGTATCTTTCTAATCTCTTATTCCAGCTATAGACAAACGTATTGCTATCTGGATGTTCTATCTTACAGTTCCCACAATTCCATCGCTTTATGGACCTATGGGAATTGGATTGTCATCTGGGAAACTCTGGTGGCAGTTTAGAGTTTCTATACCACAAATAACTGTATGTGTAGCCTTATTAGTTGGGTACTAGGTTCAAATTGGGAGTGCTGCTGCTGTACTGATCTCCCCGCTGTTCAGTGGTAGCAGTTACTCAGTCTGATTCTGGATCAGCAGTGAATTTTAAACATGTTTTTAATAGGAATGGAATCAGAGGTGGCCTGGCAGTTCATAGCTCCCATGACAATGGAACCAGTACCTGATCTTCCAGGGCCAACTTATGCAATAGACCATATGCTAGAGCTAGGATATCTGATTCAGGATAGATGTAATGTGAGCTGAGGTTTGGAGAGGTTGCAATCTGTCTCCTGTCATGATCAGATCACTCTGTGCTGTATCCAGGGTTACTAAACTCTGCAGGGAGGATGAGTCTATTCAATCAGTCCATCAAATGGGATAGCTATTCTTGGCTTCCAGAGGTACTTGCGATGTTGCTTGGGCTGTAATGGGAGTTCCACAGAAATATGATTTGCCTGCTAGACTAGAAAGAAACAACAGTTTTGGACAAAACTGAGCAACCTTTCCTAGTTCAGAGTGCAAAGGAGCTCCCGAAACAAACCAGGAGAATCTAGAGCAGAATGAATCAGGCTGAAAATGCACAAGAACTCATGTTCTAGCCCAGTGCTTCCTGGTTAAATTATCCCGAATTGGATAAGTGTTTTTTCTCTGAGTAACAGCACAAATGGTGCTGGAAAGTATAGAAAGTAAATATCATTTTACTAATTTGTAAGCATTTTAATAATACCTAATCTGAATGTTGTTTTGATGCAGATATAATAAATGTATTGCATGTATTGAATGTTATTTGGTGTTTATGCATACCAAAACAGATGTATGAAAACAAAATTTCATATTTACCTGACATAACATTACCATACTGCAGATTTCCTTTCTTTTGAAATATAAGGAGTCATTTTCTTATATGGAATAAAAAAGGGAAAACTCAAATAGAATTATTTTGTATTAAATGTTGAATGTGCCTTGATTGACTGACTGATTGATTATATTTATAGCTCACCTTTTCTTCAGGAGCTCAAGGAAGTATACATGGCTCCACCTTATCAGCCAAACAGCCCTGTGAGGTAGGTTATTGTGGACTGGGGAGTTGAATATATATCTCCCAGGATAGCTAGTTTTTAAAAATACATAAACATGAGAAATGTGTACTAAGTGAACGGGAATACTTTTTAAAAACCCAGAACAGGTTGGAATTTACAGAGTATTCAAATATTATTAATAAAAAAGCTCACTTAATATTATATAAAATGATAACATAGTTTTTTAATTACATGTCTTTAAAATCTGTTTTTTAAAGTGACTAATAACTTCTTTTGCTTTTTGCCATAAAAGATTTGTTGGAAGGCTAAATGACTATTAATGATAAGCATGTCAAATCAAAATTGGAGAGGGTACACCTTTATTTCTTATGCACTTTTAAATTCTGATGTTATTAAAGAAGAAAATTTTATGTAAAATATAACATTCTGCTTTGGAGGTAATGACATTTGTGGCAAAAGTTGTTGAAACAGTGAGAAATATCTGTGACAAATATGGGGCAGGTAGGGTTTTATGCAAAGCGAAAAGATTGTGGTAACAACTAATAGAGTGGTGAAAGGCAGGAGAAAGTGTATTTCACTTTCAGGGAAGTGAAAGTCAGGGAAACAAGAGAAGATAATTTTAATAATGGGAAGTGGGAAATAGTAATGTGAGTTAATAAAGGATTCTGTTCTTTGTATTTTTTTAAATAATATTTTTATTAAATATTTTTTTAAAAGAAAAAATAATTCTAGAAAAAGAAAAATCAAAGAGAAAGCTGAAAGTGAAAGAAAAGAATAGAAAAGAAGAAAGATACAAAGGCAAAGAAATCTTCTTTTCAGCAGTTTTAAGTACAATCATAAATTACCTGTTACTCTGATTACAATATAACTCTCTTCTTTCTATAGTCTGTAATTCCTAATCATCAAAACTATAAATCACAAATTCATTTTTTTCTGTTTCACATAAAAATTTCCAAAAAGGAGTTTGCTACGTGTGGAAAAAGATAGCCTCTAATTACAATAAAGTTTCCATCTATCTGCCATTCTATAGTGACTTGCATTACCCAGGCTACCACTATCTCAAGGGAACTCTTGGACAATTCCAGATATAAGCTACCCATAGTTGTTTTGTAGAGGGGTGTGTGTGTGTGCGTGCGTGTGTTATTGTGATAAAATATTATGGATCCATATTCATAGATTTATTGGCTTCCCAGAATTCCCCTGTGGTAAGATGGTAGGCCAATGAATTTAATAAATAAATAAATAAATACATCCACTTCTATTCATTTCAGATTGAGACACTTGCTTCTGGAAAGGATACAAAAAACGAGGAGGATTCAGAGCAAAAGCCAGCACTTGCTCATAGTACTTCTCCAACTACACAGCTTTCTGACGCTGAGGACTTTACAGGCTTAGAAACAACCAGTTTATTGCAGCATGAAGATACCGTGCTTCATATAAGTGAAGACAATGGGATGGAGAATCCCCTTCTTTCCAGCCAGTTCAACTTCACACAAGTTGAGATGGGGCAAACTGATGTTGTCCTGGATGAATCACATGTTTGACTTGAAAGAAACAGAAGTACAATAGAGGAAGCAGAGACTTTCCTCTAATCTCCATAGCTCTCTATAAGTAATGTAAGTTAAGAAAGAGCACTTTAAAAACAATGAGAGATATCTCATATCTTATTGGCGGGTTAATATATTTCATAATTTGTAAGTAATGCCTTTGGAAGATCTAGTTCAGTGGTGGCTAACCTTTTTGGGCTCCTATGCCAAAAATTGTGTGCGCATTTGTGTGCTCGTTCTCGCATGCCAGCACCCAGAATGCAATGCACATGTCCCCCCCACACCCCCTGCACATGCACCTCACAGCTGATTTTTTGGCTGGTTTGAGGCCCTTTTCAGCTTCCCAGAGGCTTGAAAAAGGCCTCTGCAGGCTTTGCAGGCCAAATAATAGGCCTGTTTCATCACTTCTGGTATTACAAGAAGTGATGAAACAGGCCTATTTTTCTCCCTGCAAAGGCTGCAGAAGCCTTCCTCAAGCCTCTGGGAGACCCAAAAAGGCCTCAAACTGGCCGAAAATCAGCTGTCAAGCGCTCGCATGCGCAGTGAGGTAAGTTTGCCTGCAGCTCGTCTGCCAGCATAAATGGCTCTGCGTGCCACCTGTGGGACACGTGCCATTGGTTCGCCATCACAGATCTAGTTAGACTCAGGACACACTGTAAGATTGAAGAATAACTTGGAATGTTCTTAGACACAGAACTTATTCATGACATTGGAATTTTCTGCTTCTTAGACTCTCCAATAAAATATTACATTAAACATGACAGGCAGAAAATGAGCACGATCTTTTAGAAGGCAGGCCACCTTAATATCTTAAAGTTTATTTTTGTAATCTAGATGGGAAACAGATACACAGAGTATATTTATCGCAAACCTTAATAGCAATCATGCTACAGGAAAATTTCATGACTCTATATTTCAATCAGCTATAGGACACAATTTATTTTCACACCTATATAAGTCTGCAGGTGTTTGTGAATCTGTGAAAAAAACATATATGCATTATTTCTCTGTTTGAACTGTATATCCAATGGATGATTTGCAATCTAAATGAATATGAATGTAATCATTAATGTTTAAGTAAATAGTAACCTTTATATTCTGATGTCATGTTGCTATAAATTAATAACTTTATTTAGTTAATGTTTAAAGGTTCTAAATTGGATGTAGTATCAGCCATACATATAGCCTATCATAAGAAGCAAAATTTTAATTATAAATTAACTGGGGGTGGTTTTTGGAAGCTATGCAGCAAAAAGATTTGGCAAAATTAAAGTTTTTACTGTTCTTCTTAACTCCCATTGCTTTAAACCAATCTAACCTCTACATGCTGGGGTGTGCTGCTTTCACTGTTGTTATTGTTAAAGTTAATATAACTGTATACCACTTTTTAAGTGTTGCTAAATCTATGATTTGATTTAATTCTATATTGGGGTTCTCACTGGCTTTGGAAGATTGAAGAATCATTTTTCAAGAAACATACTTCCTTTTGTAAATTTATATTCCTTATATTTACTGAATGATTGTATATAAAGTGAATAAGAGTTTAATGGTAGTCAAAAGTATTTTATGTTTATGTGCATTATGTAAATATGTATGTATGTATGTATGTATGTGTGTGTGTGTGTATAT